TTTAGTTATAATTGATGTCAGTAACCAAAATATGATAATGTGTAGTTATACCCTTAGTGACAGTCATATTCACAAGATTCAGCAATAAAGATAAAAATGGCCACCTATGTGAGTCAACCAAAAGTTCAAATAACACTGGTTTCTTCTCTATGCATTTGCAAAAGGAAAAAAAAAAGTCCAAATCAAAAGCAGAGTAATTCAAAATAAATACAACGCTAAACCCCCAAGAAGGTCAACTTATATGAGTAACCAATGGGGAGTCTGGAGTGAGATGAAAAAGTAACTATGAGAAACAACATTTCTAACTGAATAGTTGCTTATCAAAATCACTCATCCATTGGTGCATGATTTAAAGGAGTGCAAAATTTGCCCAACCCCATACAAACTGTGTTGTGTATATTTCTGTCCCTGGAACACTAGAAACTGTAGGGAGATTACAGTAAGCAAATTGGTGGGAAATACAGATGTTGATATATTTAATCTGGCAAGCTGAACCTTGCCAGGCCTCTTTCCTCCTCCTTTTTTTTCTTCTCCTCCTCCCTTCCTACTAATTGGTCATACAGTCAGCCAGATGTTTAGACTGATTTGGCATTTTGGTCTTCATTTGGCATTTGAGTTCTTCATAAGGATCCGGTAGACAGATATTATTATTCCATTCCACCTTTCTTGTATATAACTCAAAGTGGCAAACCTAAACTCTTGCCTCCTGTGTTCCCCACAACAACAACCCTGTGAAGTTGGTTGGGCTGAACTGGCCAGAAGTCACTCTTCTGGCTTTCATGGCTAAAGCAACACTAACATTCAGTCTCCTGGTTTCTGGGCCAGTATCTTGAACACTACACCAAACTGCTCTCAAAAACCTTAGGGCTTTAATGAAAGTTCCCTATACCCTCACCTCCTTTGAGAGGTGATACACACTGACAATATGCAGTTTACATTAGCCTGAAATAAGTGAATGTATGACCAGATGGAGGTACGCTGGATACCTGAACAGGAATAGAGCCCTAGAGGCTCTTCAGAGGTCCTTTTCAAACTAGCCCTGTTCCATTGTATTCCTATCTAAGAAGCATACCCAAGCAGCCATGGTTTAAGAGGTCCTTCTAATAGTGTGCCCAGAAACAAAACACAACTAGGATGAAATCACAGAATTTTCTCTCCTATCTTCTTCTGAAAAGCAGGTATAGATCAAACGTCGTCGAAGTACTTTGGCTGCACTTCAGTCCAGTAAGGGTCTCCAATGATTTAGTGTGGAGGGAGAATGTGAGGGGCAGAAGTGCACTACTGGGGAGAGGGTTCATCTCCCCAGCTACACTTTGGGCTCTGATTTGAAACAAATGGCCAGTTGGCTAGTTGCTCTCCTGGACTGCAAGAGTTTTTCCATGATGAAGCGTGTGGGGAAAAATGTACTTTTCATAAGCTGAAATTTGAACTAAAAATGAAAACAAGGTTGGAATAAAGCCCCACCCAATGAATCAGAAAAGGAGCGCTAACGTTTCAAACCCATTCAGACTATAAAGTTCAATGATTAAAATCATCAGCTGTTCTCAGCTTGTGACACATGGTGGAATACTCTTGGCTTGCTCTGTGTGGCAAAGGATGCTCCTGAAAGCAACTGGACCTGAGCTTACCAAAAGAAAATGTGGGATTGCAAACTCATGTAATCTACAGAAAAACCAACAGCAAAGGAGAGTGAGCCTTAAAATTGAGCCTTTTAGTCTGCTTAAAAGAATAAGTTTTCTGTGAGTTCAGTTCAGTTCCTGGAGACTCAAGGGACTTCTCCATGCAATTTTCTTAGCAGCAGCACCAATGTAGTTTACCATTACTTTCTTTTTGAATGGTTTTCACTTCCCACTCAAACCTACAATCCTGGTGGTCTCCCATCCTAGTACAAGGTCCAACCCTACTCAACTTTGTGCTTAGATGCATTATGCCAGCAATTCATACCTGTACTATCTCCACAAAGCACAAAATGGTATGTGAGGTTTTTCTCCCCTTAGTCATAAGTAGCTGGTTAATTATAACCACAAATTGGTGAAGTAGGCTAAGTTCTATGATAGCAACTTGCCTAAACCTTTCCTGTGAGATTTTGAACCTTGATCACACTAGACCCAGTTAGACAATCTATTCCAGCATTTCTTAACCTTAACAACTTTAAGTTGTTCTGGACTTCAACGCTCAGAATTCTCCAATCAACATTTTAACTTTCTAAGCCAGCCAGTATGTTACATTGCTAAGGATGAGAAGGATTGTTTATTCTAATTATTCTGCCATGTTCCTACTTGGTGCTAAACCAGGCAAAAAGGTGAGGGAGTGGTTCCTTGAGCCAAGCACAGCCCATTAAAACAACCCCTTTGTTTTTGAAAAAGCCTAAACATGTTCCTGCTTTGCATTTTAATTTAGTAGGTTAAGTACTAAACACTGCAGATGTTGTAATGAATTGTACCTTGAATAATTGCGAGAGTTTTTATAGCTGATCGACCAAAAATCAGAACAAGGCACCAATTTCCACAGTAAAAACCAGAGGTGATAATTTGGACTAATATAAGGAAGTCATCTTAAACCCAGCATGCTAAAGATTGTGACGGGCCATATGGCTCCCAGCAAGTTTATTAGAATTTATTTTATTAGGTTATTTGCATTTGGGAAACTAACTTTTTTGTTTAAAACTTTTTTTTGTCAATTCCTTCTGCAGTACTCCCAAAGTTAATACTGAAAAACAGAAAACATTCCTTTTTACTACTTTTGGTGGATCACTAAGCCTGGTTGATTAGATGTATTTTCTAGGATCAAAATAAGTATCGCTTTTAAGGGAAGGTAATTTAGACCAAGAGAACACAAAGGGTTTTGAAGGACTGGCTCCGTGGGTGTTGGGCCAGCTCGCAAACGGGTGGCCTTGATAACCTCACTTTGAGAGGGGAGTGGGAGGGCAGCCTTCAGGCGCAACTGAGAGTTGGGCTCAGCAACTCCCTCCTTATCAGGCCACCGGCCTTGAGCAGCGTTTTGGATAGCTCGACCTTCGCGTTCCACAAACCCAAGGAAAGAAAGCATCTTTCCGCTTCACGATCCAGTCTGAATGTTCTTCTCGGTCCATCCTCAGGCCGGCACCTTTGGGCTCCAATTGCCAAGCCCGGATTACGTCCGGACCACCTCGAGATACTTTTCAGGGTAGGCAAATCAAAGCTCAACACTGTCAACTAAGGAAAATATGCACTTATTGTAGCTCTCTGCACATGTTCAGTTAAAAGCGTTTTTCTCTGTTCCTTGCGATTGGGTGACAATGGAGCAGGTCAGATTGACAATAGAGCATAGTCAAACATAACAACAACGGCCACGACGACTCTGACCAAGACGATGATAAAAGTCGTGGAGTTCAATCTCTGCTCTGCAATTCAAAAGCCGCTACTCGGTTACCCGCTTACTTTAAGAACCTCTGGCTATTCTCCGGCCCGGATTCCAAATGAGCCACGGGGTCCGTGCAGACGGGGAGAGGAGGGCTGTTACGGTTTGGATGAATAAGACCCCTCAAAAATACTGACCCAGAAATATTTATAAAAAGCAAATATCCCGACTCGAATATTTTCTCCCGCTCCCATAGTGCCTCGGAATTTTTCAGCCGTAGTAAAATTAAACCGAGGTAGGGAAGGTTGTTCATTAACGTCCATGAGCAAGCTGCAGAGATTTGCAACAGGCGATCCCCCGATCCGGATAAAACAAGCTGTAGTTCTCCCAGAGCCCAGAAATTCGCTTTTGTTGGAGTTTTGTTCAGTATCCTTTTGCCGATCCGGAGCATTTTTTTTTCTTTTTTCTTGCTTTCTAGCGAGTTACTGTAATTCGATTGAGCTCATCGGGTCCAATAACCCTAAATGTTTCCAGCGGTAACAACTTCTTAGGATGGACTTCAAAACAATGAAGGGAGCGCTAAAAATAATATTTAATTTAAAATATAATGGTGAAACACGAGATTGCGCCCCGGGGAGAAATCTAGAATGTAAACACGCTCCTGTGTAAAGTTGCTCCAATGGATCGGAGCCTGGGAGATCAAAGATTAGCAACCAAGAGTACACTGCCTAGTTTAAGGTTCCGTAAATTCCGTCATCTTTAAGCTTTTAATATTTATTTATACCCCGCTTTTATTATTATAAATAATTCCAGATGGCGAACATACATAGTACTCCTAATTTCCCCAGAACAACTCTGGCCAATTTCCAGACTTTAGGTGGCACTAGAACTCACAATCTCCACTAGAGTCAAATTGGCGGTCCCAAACATTCTTCGTTGTACTTCTTCTAGTTTGTATATTACTTGACGGTAAGCACTAGAAATAAAATGGCAGAAATGGGCCCTAGCTCGGTTTAAAACAAAACAAAAAGCCTTTCACATTAATGTCAAGAGCTCAGACACAGGGAGGAACAGAGGGGCAAAGTAGTTGTGTATGTGAGGGGGGCTCCCAGGAAAAAAAAAGCCACAAACGTCTACACCGGCAAGTCACGCATAACCGTTAGCGGTTACTTAAGCCCAATTTTTGAGTTCTGGCAAAACAACCACAGCTATATTCTCAGTGGGTTCCGCCAACATGCATGGCGCGAATGTGGTTGGCCTGTTTTCGGCTCAGCAATGCGACAAATCGGCCAATAATGTCCCGCGAAAGGAAGTGCTCGCAGCGTGAGGTTAAAAAAAAAAAAAAAGTCAAGATGGCAGCCGCGACGCACCTAAAAACCGTCCACGCTTCAATGACAGCGTCTCGGCTGCCATCTTGATTTTTCTGACTATATTCAGCGAACACCCTCTCTTGTGGAATTTGAAATGACACTTTGTAGTACTGTAGAAAAAACTTTGATGGACTAAAGTGCAACAAGGTCGTGGCTATTAGCGACTGGGAAATAGCTCCCTTTTCTACAACCCAAAAGATCAGAGGCCTCTTATACACCAACCCTTGAGTGCCAAGAACACCGGCCTCTTTACTCCCAAGTAAGTGCGTGTAAAAACCTGGCGCGCTCCAGTCCGCGGGATGTTTAGCAAACCGTCTTGCAAAGCGTCTGTTTAGTGTTCCGTGCCGAGTGGTTTGTTTTGCCCGATTCGGAGATCGAGAATTGCAATATGTTGGCCAGGCGAGAGAAAGCGAGCCCGCGCCTTTTTTTTTTCAAACCAAGGCGGCGTTTTGTGCCGCTTGATTTCCTTTTTTGATGCACCAGTTTTAAGAGGCGTGGACTTTTCCACCTCCTCCTGTACTTGGGAGTAAACCTCAGTGGACTTTGTGGAACCTATTTTACAAACCAAGGTAATCCGGATCAGGGCAGGCTAGAAAGGAAAAGGAAATGAAACGAAGGGCTGGGAAATGCAGGGCGGCCTGGCCCGGCGCTTCTATATTCCTGCTGGACGCGCCCCGTGACGTTTCTCTTCCGGCTCTACCTTGGAGTTTGCGGGGAGCGGGTGGATGAAGGCCGGCGAACTTCGAACGGCCTGGTTTATTCCAGCTCAGCCGCCGCCTCGGAAGAAAAAGATTTTGGATTTTCAACGGCGTTGTGATTGTATAAACGGGTTTGGATTCGGATTAAAAAATGTCATTCTAAACAGGTATGCTCCAAAGTAGATCTCATCAAAGTCAGTCAGAGATTGGCTCCAATCACATAGATAGGATCAAGCTGCCTGGATCTTTTTCTCTGAATTCTGTACCACTTAAATCATTAGTGATTTTCAATACTGGCTACAACAATAACTACACAACAACCTGAGTGTGCTGAGAAAGAAAAAAACTGCTTGTTCTGTGGACATTTTTGGCCCTGAATGGCCCTAGAATAAATTGTATTGAAACAGCCTTTCTGGCAAAATTCCAATTCCTAAGTTCATATGACAAGTGCCTTTCATTCATAGGAAACAGCTTTATTAGCTTTTACCTATTTGATTTCAGACACAAGGCTTACTGGATAGAGACCGATGGGTGAAATGGAAGAGGACTTCTGAGCCCTGCAAAATAACAGATTCTTTTCACCAACAATGGCAGAGGGGATTTCACAACCTGTCTTGCTGAATGCTGTCATCAAATTTAGAAGTTGAGTGCCATGAAAATGTGCATCGAGCAGAGAATTTGGGACATCAATTTCAGACATACAGTATACCACAAATGTGATGCAATGCACCATCTCATTGACCCCATTTGTGTTGAGCTTGGAGATTTCCTCATTGCTGCTACATCAATAAACCTTAAAGAGGATTACATGATTGACTGAATTCCTTCCACGATGATTTAATTCAAATTCTTAAAAACTTTCCAAGTGTCAAATTCACCTAACATTCTACTCTCTGTGTCCCTTTGGAAGTCATAAGTTTTTCATTAGTTTTATAAACCTGACTAACCTTGAAAAGGCTACTGAGATAAAAATGAACAAAATGTCTGAGAGAACATTCTTTCTCCCCAGTTTGGACCCAGAACACTAAACAAACAAAACCTGTCATTGTTTGAAAGTTATTCCAGCCTCCTGGTCAAAATGAGGGATGATTCATATAGACATGTAAGTGAAATGCATGTCTGCTTGGAATTAATCTTTTAAATTAATTTAGGCAGTAAAACTGAACAATTAAAAAATATACGATCTCAAGATTTATTCTTTCCAAGTACAGAATGGACAGAAGTATAAAAATATTGGTAGTGGTATATGCAAGGAAATGATGAACCTACAAATTAATATGAATCTGTTGGGGAAATGTTACTTAGATAAATCTTATCCAACAAAATAGCATTTACATTTGAGTAGTCATATATGAGTGAGCTTTTATTCACTGTTGCTTAATTATTGTAAGAAGCTGCCAAAGCAGAATATATACATCCACAATCCTGTGTATATCTGCAAAACCATGCAATTTGCGAAGCCAAAGGAACTTTTAAGAGGATTCCTGCCTCTCCAGTTATGATTTCAAACTTCTGGCTAGCTGGCTGACTGGCTAGCTGGCTGGATGGGTGAGTTTCACACATATGCACATGCAGGGGGAAAAGGACAGGGACTTGATGTGTGTCTCCAATCTCAACAGCAGAAGGCATCACTGATTGAAAGAACTGGGATTATGGTAATTATCCCCTCTTTTTGTTTTCTTGTTGGATTGGTGTACAATGTAGAGTGCATTTCTTTATTCATGATTTATAGCTCTTTATAACTCTTGTAACTGTAGTATTCCTGTTCTTCTGGATTAGTAATGAGGGCCGGGTTTATATCACCACAAGGATAATTGGATGAGGCTCAAGATGCTATAATCATTTGTGAGGAAGATGGATGAGCTTTAAGGCTATATATGGTTCTAGAACTTCAGGTAAGCACATTGGCAACTTCTAGCTGTGAAGCAGGTCAGGTCCATGGTTGACCTCAATTGGCCCAGGAGACTTTTGCTTCTGAAAGAATCATGACTGTCAACAGGGCCTCTCAAAAGCCCACTTGGGATGCCTGAAGCAGAAAGGTACCTGGAACAGTTGATCTAATTGTCAGAAAACGGGGGATAAAAAACAAGTCCCCTTTGGAAATCTTACATAAATATTTTAAAAGGTGTGTGTAAGGAATTTTTTAAAGTTAAAATTGATTATGAGAGGAAAAAATCCAGCCTGCAGGAGGAGGAATTTAGTTGATCCCTTCCAGAAGAGTTTGGGAAAGTTGGACTGCCCCTATGATCCATTTTTACATCTCAGGGACCTTCCACTTGAGAAAGGGTGGGGTTTCTGAGCAAGAGCTTTTGTGAGGAAAGGTGGTGTCTTGTGGGCAAGGCAGACCAACCACTCCTCAAACTCTCATAGGCAGAGCTGCTCAACATACAGGTGTTTGCCTCAGTTTCACCAAGCACATAAGTCTCCTTGCAAACACCACCTGATTTTTGAGTTCAGCTGTAGAAAGTGCTGGGGAAGAGCACTGGAAGGGTTCTATCATTGTTTCTGTTTCATGGCCTTGCAATGGAGGTGGATATCTCAACAGTCCAGTGCAGTCTCCCACAGCCCGGTCTGCCAGGCAAACTAACCTGAAATGGAGGGTTAATTGCAATATTGTTTTTTTAAAAAACGGGGAAATACTTCATTTCTATTTCTTTGCATCCTGTGCTTCTCCCAGAAGTTAAAGCAGTTTACATGGAAGGAACTCTTGGTTTTATGCAGATAACCCTGTGAGGTAGGCTAAAAGGAAATGTGGCTTGCCCTAATCACCCAGTGAACTTCCAGGACTGTAGATGGAATTGAACCCTGTCTCCCTGCCCAATGTTTCAGCAACTACTTCCAAGCTAGGGACAGGGTGGCACACAGAGGGAGGCTCTGGGACTGTTAGATTTTCTCGGGCTTCCATTTCTTAATTCTGGCTGTTCCTTGGCAGAGTCACCTCTGGGCAGAGGAGCCATGGGGGGGGGGGTTGAGAGGAGAGACAGGTTTAGCGTACGAATTCTTAAGCCGGGTATTTATTCCAGCAGTTTCTAAATTTTCTCTGATTTTGTGGCGTTTTGTTTGGGCTATAAGTTAAGAAAATGCTCCCGCTGTTTTCTGCCTATTTGGTTTCGTGCTAATAAAAGGTGTTGCCAGCCTTGGTTTCGAAAACTTTTTCTGAGTACAATTGGAATGTGCTTTTTGTCCCAAAGGCAAAAGGTCCATATGACCCTTCCATAAGCCTGTTTAGGCTTCAGGCGACTCGTTTTCAAAGGCAATAATTTCCTCTGGCGAAGCAGTAATGTAACAAATGCGTACTTTAACCTTTTAATCAAGCTTTCCACTGAAAGCAACAGTCCAGTTTTCACAAGACGTCCCTTCTACTTCTAAACCTTTATTGCTCGTTGCTCGAAACAGACTTGGTACGAGAGCGAGCGAAGATGGTATTCATTCACCTGGTGAGCCTCTCCTACTTCGTCTTTCGCTCAGAACTCGCGCTCGCCGAAATTCGGGTTTGCGGCGGGTCGGAAAAACCGCCGAACCTGGACACAAATGGGTCCGTTTCTGAACCAGCTCTGGAAGACAGACATCCTCGATCGCTTCAGAGGGACTAAGTTCTTTTAACTTTCAGTCACTTTCCTGGCCAGCACTGTATGAGTTTGGGTGCCGTTAAGATAAGAGGGGTAAGCAACGAGGGAGACACGCAGGCAAGGACCCGGAGGGCTGAGCTGGTGACTGGAGCGGAATCCTTGCAGCTGCGGTCCCTTCCGAAACGCACAGATCTGAACGGCCGTTCACCCTGGTAACTTTCAAAAGAGAAGGGACTCCCATTTCCCTGGAAACGATCCCCTTGCTCCCCTTTCTACTACCTTTCAGGTATTGCGCCTGGGAATCATTGAAGTTGTGTCCAAAAGCCCCAACAGAGAAGCATGTGTGGGGAGGATTGGCGGAACAAAATGTTTGCAAAAAAGTCTAACAAAGAGATGGGGAATTCTTTGCCCGACCCATCAACGGAGCAGAAGAAACCTCACCTTTTACGTTATAAGAAAAACTCGGTGCAGGAACGGGGTAAGAGGGGAGTATAAAGACAGAAAATGAAAGCGACGAAATAAAACCCAAACAGCAAGACCGTCTTCTCGTTTTTTAAAAAAGAACGATCCACCCCAAAACGGGGGAGGGCATCTCCTTGCCGTCGCCTCTAGGTAAATTTCGCTCCAAGCGCCCTCCCTTTCCTGGCTTGGCGCGCACGCGTTGGTGGCTCCCCCCACCCCCGGGCCTGGGCATTGCCTCTCCTCCCAGGGCCGGACTGGCCTTCCCGGGGAGGGCCCGACGCTGGGATTGGCATCCTCGCCGAGAGCCCGCTGGCGCCTGACACAGCGCGCCTCTCTCTCGCGCGCGGGTGTTTGTTTAGGGTCCCCTCGAGCCAATCAGGCTGGCCGGCTGCACTTTTCCGGCGCGGCTGTTGGAGGAGGCGCCTCGGTCGCTCGCTTGCTCCCTGCCAGGCGCCGCTCCGGTCCGCGCTCTGCCTTGGCCGCTCGCAGTCCGCCGCAGCCGCAGCAAAGAGGAGCCTCCGGAGCCGCGGCTCAAGAGGTGGGTGCCACCGGGGCAGGAGGGCGCTTCTCGAGCCCGCGCCCCGCCGGACGAGGCGGGACCGTCTTCTTCCCGGGGGGGGGGAACAATCGCCTCCTCGCTCCGCCAGGACTCCTTATCTCTGCGGCCGCGCTCTTATCTCGCCTCCGGTAGGGGTCGCGAGAGGCGCGGGGGCCTCTGGCGGTGGAATTTGGGCGCCGGGAAGGGCAGGGAAGGGGGGGGTCGAGGCGCTGGGGTGCAGCCCCGGCGGACGCGGGCCTTTGCCCAGGGGGCCGACGCCGCGGCCGACGCTCCTTTCCCCTCCGGGTCGCGGCGTAGACCGCGCCAGGAAAAGGCGTAGATCGCTCTAGGAGAGGCGCCGCGTTTCAAGTCGCGGGCGATCTCTCGGCGAGGTCTCCGGGTAGGGCTGGGCTTGGTCAGGCAGGGCAAAGCAGGGCGGCGGGGACGCGGGGACGCGGAGCGGGGCTGGCGCTCTGTTGATTATGGACGGCTGCCATTTCTAAGGTGTGCCGGAGCGCGGCGGGGTTTGGAGCTGACCGGGTCAACCTGGGCAGCCTGGAGGGACGGAGGGAGAGAGAGAGAAGAAAACGTGGAACAGACTGGCACCGGGGCCCTCCCCCCTTGAGATCCCGAGGGAGAGAGGCAGTTTTGGAAGGGCCGAACCTCTAAGCTTGCGGTCTCTTCCGCCCAAGAGCTTCGCCTCTACCTGGCCGTCGGGGTCTGCATTTCGGCCCCTCCGGCTACCCTGAAACGCCTTCCCCGCCTTCTCCTTATTTGCCTTGCTAATTGTTTTCATTCTGGAACGAAATTCAGTGAGTCATTAGCTGAAACCGAAAAAAAGAGCCCAGCCGGAGCGGGGAGGGTTGCGGGGCTTGTCCTACCGGAGGCGCTCCAAGCCCCAACGCCATCACTTCCCCCCCCCCACCTCCAGCCCTTTGTCACTCATTCGCTCTGTAAGCTACGTCAAAGGAGGGAGTGCCTGTTCGGAGGCAGACAGGCTGTTCTGGGAAAATTCTTGATCCTGGAAGATCCAGAGGTGGGACAAAGCGAGGGCCAGCTCGAGATTTTAGTCTGGCTGAAGCGCCGCGTTTTCCTTGCCGATGGGGTCTTCGGGATTTTGCGCCAGAGTTGCTCCGAAAGAGTAGCTCGCCTCGGTTTTACAGAGGGGAAAACCAAGGTTGGGGGAGATGTTCGGGATGACCCGGGGGGGATGGCGTTGGACCGGCGTCT